GAGACACATCAGAAAACAAGATAGGAATTCCTGCCTTGTTAGAGTTTACGGTCAAATGGTGTTGGCAGCTGTTTAGGATGATTCATGTTCTAAATTTAACTTATTATAGTATATGATGATTTGCATTTAGAAGGAATCTTATCCTAAATGCTCAGAAATCTAAATTATTACATCGCCCTCTGATATGAATAGAACTCTATAAAGAGAAACTCTGTTATAAACTTCTGTGCTGATTTCACTCAGCATTGTCTAACACAACCATTTATTTTGTCAGCCTCTCAATGTTTTTTCGATTGCTTGCACACCAGGACAGTTGTCTAAAACCAGTAGTGTGCAGTAATTTAGAATCACTGGTATGAGGGCCATTGGAAGTACTGACTCAGGCATTTCATTCTACCATCTAAGAAGAATTGGTATGTAAGGCATTATTTCTGTCTTGATTATCAATAGGAATTTAGCTGGAACTCATAATAAGAAGAACTTCTATTGGGTCATAGCTGGTTTGTAGTTGCTTTCGTATTGTTCACTGCATACCATGCTTTTTTTTCCCCCCTGAGTTCCTTTACACAGTACACTCTTAACACACTCTTCCAGACCATTTGTAAGAACAGACGGACCTCATGATAGAGCTTTCATTTAATCTTCATAGCCTGACTCTGCCAATCTCTCTTTTCCCAGTGCTCCTGACCAAGCAGTGTTTGAATTAGTTTGCTAAGTAAAATAATTTAATGCCTAAAGAACAAACCCTGTGCCCATCCTCAGCTGGGATGGATAGCCCGGAGATAGAATGATGTACACAAATGAGCATATACTGGATAGAAAATGGTATAGACCATGGGATTGGTAAAGGTCCATAGCATCAGGAGAGAAGAGTTGAGTTCTGACCAGGCTTGGATGATGGTGTTGCGAATATTATCATTACTCTAACAGGCAAAGTGTCATTAAGTTGTTAGAATTCAGAGAACATCTTGTGTACATTTTATATAAAATCACACTTTTGGTCAGCTTTTCCTCAGAGTTTCAGTATACTTAATATAACGGTATTTTATTAATATGGATGATAGCATGTGCTTTCTACACCTCTTTTAAAATAACTTACGGCTTTTTTCCATCATGAATTTTCTCTCCCTTACTCCCTTATTCATGAGCTGTGGTAATAACCTGTTCCATCGGCGTTTAGGATATCATTGATATTCCCTGAGCTTTTCTAAAATTCCTTGATTATTTACGAGTTTGATGAGAGTTGAAGATCATCTTTTTAAAGTCTTATTTGTTTAATGAATTTTTTAAACTACTGCATGGGAAGTTAATACTGGGAAATAATTGAAGTCTTATACTGTGGGTTATGTTGTCACTTAAAATGACTGCGGAAAAGTGTTTCTTTTTAGACCACAAGGAAGAGATAACTATTTGGGGGGATTTGTTTAGTATTTGTCTCTGAAGCCTAAAGAGAATTGAGGTTTGTTCACTCTGAGTGATATGGCACTGAAAGATTGTCAGACCTGTAGAATTTTTATTTTGAGAAACATTATCTTCCCTCTTTGTTACAGAATTTTTTCTTTGTTTTTTAAAACCTTTCCCTTCGTGTGTGTTTTGAAGTAGTCTGATCAGTTAATTTATATCAGTCTTTTTATCATTTTTTTTTCTGTAATAGTTCTTTATAGCAAAGCTTTTGTTGACTGTTGTTTGAAGGGGATGTTTTTCCTGCCTTAGTCCTGAACCAATTGAGAAATAGACAAAGAGGCCAGGCAGATGGACATCAAAATAGCCTCCCCACCCCCGCTTTTTTTAATAGAATGATTGCAGGACATGACTTAAGAGCTCAGCTTGAAGGGCTTAAGGACATTGAACCCTCCAAATTAGAAAGCTTTAACCACCTAGTCTCAGGCAGTGCTGGGGAGCAAGGCAGCCATGGACTCTCTGCCCCAGGGCAGATCCCGAAGAGACAAGTTCAGAGGAAGGGACCAGGCTTTTCTCACAGAATTCCTCTTCCCAGACTCACCCACCAGATGAGTCATCCTCCAGTGAGGAGGCTGAAGCCAGAGCAGGAGACCACAGTAAGAGGCCTGCTCTCTCAGTCTGCAGCTGCCCTGAGCATTGACAGTAGCCTCAGTGGGAGAACCAGGGCTACAGGGACATTGCAGAGAGCTGAGGGCTCTTGGGAAGGTCATCCTGACATTAAAGAGAAAACCTGCCCGGAGCACTTCTGTTCATATGTTAGTACCTGATTGGTTTTGCTCCATTCTCTTACACTGTGTGTGTAAGTTAGGTTTTTTGTTGGCTCTTTTTATTTTTTTAATTCTCAAAAATAATACAAGTTTTTGCTGAAATTTTAACATTTCCACCTTTAGAGGACAATTGGGAAAATCTTATAGGACAGCTTTGTTTCCATGGGGTTATTGTGAGGATCAAGAGAGATTGTATATTCATTGGGGAACAAATCCATATTAAGAGAAAGGTACCAGGAAGTGGGTTCGCTACACCAGTGATCAAGATGATTGATTCCAAAGATGAGCAGCAAGGCCCACGTGTCACCTTCAAACTTCAACCAGTGGGCCAAGGTCCTCTCCACATAGTTGAAGCTCCTAACGTTGGACACACCACTGGCCCTGACAGATGCTCATGTGCTCCCAGAACCACGTGCTGCCTCCCGTTCTGGCTGTACACCCCAGGTACTGGGGTGCCCCACGCAGAGCCCAGGGTAGTTGTTTGTATTTGCTTTGCAGTGGCAAGTGGACCAGGGCCTGTGACTGAGAAAGCCAGACTGGGCTTTTCACCTACAGATGTTTTAATGTGCTTAACGTTATCCAATACTAGCAACCAAGATAGTCTAAATACCACAGCAGGATCTGATTAGCTTTTTCAGATCACTGCCTTTATTTGCTGTTTGCAAAAAAGCTTAATCCAGTGCTAGAGATCAGGCTCCCCGTTGAGCCCTTGGGTAGTTTTCTTTCCTTTGTGTTCACGGTGGCAGGAATTAGTGAGAAGATTCCTCTTCCTCCTCCTCCTCTTCTCCTCACCCCCCCACCCCCCACCCCTGAATTAAAGCTAGAAAGTAGTAACTATAGTAGCAAGGGATAAAGAGAAGAAAGCAAGCCCAGGGCAAAAGAGAAGACTTTGTATTCATACTAAATAGTTTACTTTTTATACACAAAAAAAGCTTTAATATGAATTCATAAACACTGACCTCACTGACTCGTCAGTGCATAGCTTAAGTTTCATTAGGTTTTAGTTGTAATCACTTTGCATTAATGTCTAGTTTTAGTTTTTATCTTACTAAATCAAACTCGGTTTTACCAAAGGAAGTACATTTACCAACCGTCCGACTGACCTTGATTTATATTTCTCCTTTTACTCATGAAATTTCAAAAAAGAAATACCACTACACCACTTACAAAAAAATTTAAAAAGATACATTTTAACTCTCTTCATTTCTGTGTTCATATGTTTACCCAAGACGTAAAATTTGAATTCTGGGTAATTCACCTTATAATTTGCAATAAACTGTAATATTAAAGCATTAATATTATCTTTAACAGGCTTCTATGAGACCATAGGCTTAACCAATGCAGAAACATTTCTTCAACCCTTGGCAAAAGAATAGTTTTCCTTTAGAAATTAGTTTGGCATGCAGACATAATAATAATAATAATATTAATAATAACGGCATTTAGGTTAAAATATCTTTACAGATTTTGAAATTTCTAACATTTTGGGAATGATATACTTTCATAAAATATTAAGCTCTTTTGAGGAAAACTGCAAGTGGTGATGTAAAGCATACTTTGTATTTTTTATTTCTGGTAACAGTAATTTCTTTAGGCTTTTAGTATGCATAATGTTCAATGTTTTCTTCAGTGAGATAACTGAAAATTTTTAACTATGTAGAGTAGACCTCTCTCTTATGGTTGTAAACAGAGAAAATCTTCTTTACACTTGAGTGGGCATGGTAAGTCCCAACAGATACTACTTTTCCCCCAAATATTCCCAAGTGACCCTAATTGTGAGCATCCTTGGTATTTGTATATGTGTAAAGAGAGACTGATTTAGGTGGTTTGGGGTGCTTTACCCAAATCTTATATCTTGGAAAAGTCTAGGCTCTGTGTAATTCAGCCTATATCAGAAAGTTGTGGAAGCAGCTCTTGCCTTCGCTCTTGTCATCTGTGCTGGAATGAAAAGTGGATGTGTGCATGTGTGGGCGGATGGGGGGGCGCTATTCACAGAAGTAGGTAGTAGGACAGCTGTACGTGTCTTTTTCCTTTTCCTTTAGCGGAGAGCTAGTTTCACAACACCTAATGGTGTTTACATTTTGATTGAACTTTTGTAATAACCAGAGACCACTCAAAATGTACATTATGCAGCTCTCAAAAGCAAGTAGCCCTGGCATTATAAATACTGCAGTCTGGAACTGTGGAAATAAATCTGGGGTAATAAGCTTCCTCCCGGAGGGGCTGACTTGTATATTCTTCAAAAATACTACATTATTTCTTCTTCATAAAGTTAACTAGCTCCTGAGCTGACATTTGAGTATTACATCTGAAGAAATTTTATGAAAAATCAAATGCTTTTAACAGGTATAATATGTTGTGTATTAACATAAAGAAAGATTTTAAGGACCTGAGTAACTAGAACCCATAATAAAAGAATCTTACATTGCAGTTGGACATGCATATATGGTGGGCTATGCTGGTGATTTAGGTTGAAGTTAAATAGTTTTGTCTAAAAGTACAGTTTGGATGACACATTTGGCACAAGTTGAATCACACTTGTTTTATCTTCCTACACTGTGCTTTTAGTGAACTTTCTAAAATTCTGTTTGTAAGCCCTTAAGCCTTCGTCTTTTGCAATCTTACTTTCATTATCTCTCTCCTTTTTTTTCATTTTATTGCTTTGCAGCAAATTAATATCTAAAAATGTTTCAGATATCCTAGTGTTTGCAGGGAAATAGTTTTACTAGAGCCTTCTGTCCCACTTCACTACCAACTCATTAAAGAGAAGGGATTAATGCAGTAGGAATTGCTACTTTGACACACCTCCTGTTCCTTATTTCTCAGAACCCAAAAGCTAATAGACTGGAGTAAGCCTCAACTTTTTGGAAACCTGCAACTTTTACTACTTGAAAATATAATTGGTTTCTTTGTTTCGTGCATGAAAAACAAGGAGGAAAAGCTGAAGGCTGCCCAAGCCAGGTGTTTCTTGTTGGCAGCCTGCTGCCTAATGACTGGGCTCCTAAAGAGCAGCTGCCTATGAGTCGGCTTTGTCTGGCCTATTGTTGGAGCACACCCCTCGTTAATACACATGCTGCCCCGGGCAGACCCCGAGAATGACATCAACTTGCTTATCTTAGAGACCTGCGAACCTGACCCCGGGTGCTGAGGTTGGCTTGCATCTGCCCGGCCAACTAATTGTGAGCTCTCTGGCCTGTGATTGGCTGTTACTCTACTCGGTAATAGGTTAAGCAAAGACATTGCCATTCCATCTGTTCAACCATTCATTGTTCTTCTTGCCTGCCTGCAAGTCTGCAGCTAAAACTGTGTTAAGGAGCTACTGCTGAAGCTGCTGCAGAAACCAATGTCTTTGTATTTTCCTGCTAACGTGAGTATCTGGGCTGCTTAATGCCTCACCAGGTAAACTTTGCTAAATATTGAGAGTATTAATTTGAACTCTGTAAAGGCCAGAAAACCCCTCAAATGAAAAGCTACAAATTTTTCCATAGTGCCAAAATACAACAAAATTATCTTATGTAGATTATGTCTAGAGTCACATAAATAATGACAGCTTCACAAATGTTTGCAAGGCATTAGGCATGGCATGTGATCATTTGGTGCTTAAAGATAAGTTATAATAGGTTCTGATGTTTTGATAAACAATGAATTTGGGTTTTATATTGTCACATTCTTAATGTTTCTTCAAGTGTCACAATCGGACTTAAGCGATGTAAGCTGGTAGTAAGATTTGATAATTTTTTTTTCCATTGTCTTAAAAATCTAGCTGGGAGAGATCGGTTGACATACAGGTAGATGTTTCAGACAGCTTGTTGTAAATATGATGACGAAGCAGCCACCTGCTTTGTCAGCAGTTTCAGTAGTCACCTGTAGTTTCTAATTTCTCCCACCTTTCCCTGTCCCCCCCGCCCGGCCCTGCATTAGTTTGAAATATTAAATTGAAGGTGTCATTGAAGGGACGACTGCTTGCAGGAGTTCTGTAATGGGGAAAGGAGGAGGAGACAAAGACATTCATCTATCAGTTGGGAGGGAAAGAGTGAGCATAAAGGGTTAAAAAGAGGTTTTCATTTCTACCACATGCCCTATTGTGTGAACATATGCATGAGTCTATTGAAAGTTTTCAGAAGATGGGCAGGCCACCAGTTGCTGGTCTCCTGCAGTTCCAGTAGACATCTGTTGCCCCAGAGCATTAACCAATCTGTTCAAAGGGACATCCTTCCTTTGTTAGCCAGAGGGATGCAGACAACAGCACTCACTGAAATACAATGGTAATTAAATACACAGAGACTACAGCAGTAGGTATTTATTACATATTCATTATTTTATTTTCATTGTTCTCATAGTATTACCATTTGGATAACAACCAGAACCCACTTCGTGGCATTGTAACTTTTATGTTACAAACAAGCAAATTGATTTAACAACTTTGTGGTCTAATATTCCTAATTAATGTGAGGCTTTTCATAATTATTTTTTTTTTTGCCACTGGATTTGAGGTGAAGGATTATCCAAGTCATCTAATGAGAACTTTCAAAGATCTCACCAAATGGGGGAATTGGTGTGTATACAACAAATTTCTAGTAAATAACCATATCATAAAGCTGTTTTCAGTTAGTACAAAGTTTTTTTTTTTGACAATTAAAATAATTAGTTCAACTTCATCATCTACGAAAGTAGCATGAAAATTTGGAGCTTTTTCAACAACTAATATGTGATTTTTTAACTTAGTAGGCCTTTAACAAGAAAAATTATTTTAGTTTCTAGTAGAGTATCTGGAGGGAGTCGTTGTCTTTATAAGTGTAGAAATCTGTGTTCAGACCATTATATTTTTGCCGAGTGCTTTTGTGCTAATGAATACAGTGTATAAGGGCCAATTACAGTGTCTTCCTCATATAAAGCTTAAAGGTTAAGCCATATTTTTTGTAGTTTTGTAGTTTTTTTATGACTATGGGAGTACAAACACTGACCTGTTTTGTGTGTGAAATTTTCTCTATGCTGCTGCTTCATGAAATGAGGAAACTTATCCTTATTAGTTAAGAGTCGATTAATTTAAAAATGAGTACATCTAAGTAAATACAAAATTTAAAAGTCTAACAAATGATTTAGTAATTAAGTAGAAAAATATTTTCTACCTTTGTAATAATAAATTTTGTGAAGTTATTGGAGTCTTTGCTGTCTTTTTCAACATTATATTGATCATTTTTATGTCATTGAACAAGAGTGAAGATCCTCTACTGTTCTTTGTCCTAAGCTTTCTTATAATAATTCCTTGTAAGTTTTACATGTGACATTACTTGAACAAGTACTATAGCCTATGAAAATATTTTTTTCAGCTTTTAGATCTTAAGACTGGCATTTAATTTTTTATTAATGATTTCTAGATATTGTGAAAAGAAATTTAAATGTCATATTAAGTCATGGCATCTTTTACTCATTTCAAGTGGGCAAGGAAGCATTTCAGATTACAGTTTTAAAAACCAAGTGTTTCCAATTTGGTCACTACAAGTAAAGTTATTTCAGATTTAAATTATGTAACAGAGAAGATCTAGGCCCGGCAACTGAACTCCTTTGCCCATATTTGTACTATTTCATATTTCGTCTACTGATTGACAGGAACTAAAAATAATTATTTAATTGTTTGTTTAGGACAGAATAACATTGGGTAACTTTCTCTGAACTAGCCAGTGAAGTATGAAAAAAGAAGAGAAGCCTGTCAGTATAGGGGGAAAGTTCAACCAGAATATTTTAAAAGAAAAAATATTTTGACTAACAAAATTAGATGTTAATTTGTTTTAAAAGTAGGGTAGATCAGTGTTAAAAATCATGTTAGCCCAATTATTGTAAACTTTTTACTTTCATAGTATCTATAAATTTCAGAAATTATTACAAGTTAAAGGTGTGTGGAACTCACCACATACATTTGTATATACAAATGAGTTTTCTCTTGTTTAATATTATAAAAAGCAAATTGTTAATAACCTCATTTTCCCCCTATTTTATCATTATAGCCATATAATAAAATTATATAGTAGAGTGAGTTTACATAGGATCATGAATACTTTTTGTAAATATTAGACTGAAGTGATACAGAAAGACTTAGATACTTGTGTAGGGTGGATAATTTTTAGTTTAAAAACTTGTAGTATTTGGTTTTGTTGCTTTGAAAAATGTGAAAATTAAGAATATTTTCACTTATTCTCTAAACATAACATTTCACTTCCATGTTCCCCAGTTCCATGTTTTTCATAAAGTATTCATCTTGTTTGAACCAGTCCAAAAGGAAGACACTTCAGCTCAATATTAAAATAATATTTCCTAGTTCAAGTCAGGGATTTGGTCAGTGAGTCATTATCTTGAAGAATTATCTCACAACAGCACTTATGCAAAACCCAAACTTTTCAGGGGAGATCAGAACGGTTGCCCATTAAATACACTTCCTGCAGTCAGAGCAGATTGTGGGCTTTCCCGAACAATGATGTCGGAGCTTCCAGATCGGTTTGGCAGCTGCATTGTTCTCAGAGGGTAAACCAGACGCACTTAAGTCCCAGTCTCTTTTATAGGCTTTTGTTCATACCAAATTATTCTTTCACTGTGCTAGCATTCATGATGGCATGTTAAAAGAGTGCAGCTTAGCAACCAGCTTCTGGTTGCCAGGCAGCCCAGCTTCCAATAGGTTTTCCTTGTTCGGGATACTTTTGCTGGGAGCTCTGTGAAGGCCACAGTGCAGATTTTTCTTTTAACTGTATCCCTTCATTAGGATTCTGTTGTGATTTGTTACTTACATTATGGTGTCAGTATATTACAGTAGTTAATAAATCACTGAGTGTAAAGATTTGCTTTCAAAATCCCTTCCTTTAATTCTAAATAATTGGGCTCAAGCATATCCATATTAATAGAAAAAATTGAAACGGATACAGCTCTATAACGGAGCAGATGTATATAGAGCTCTCCTAAGGAGTATTTCTTTTTATCAGTTGTGCAGGCCGGAGCCAGGAGAGCCTGAAGTTTCTATAAAACTAATAAATGCTATATTAATTAGAACAATGTTATCTGTCTTCTCAAGGAATAAAACCTGAAGAAACTCTTGTACAAGTGTATGGGAGTTCTACACTGAAGAAATTTTAAGTGTATTGTTATCAAGCTAAAGATTCCATGTTCTAGTCTCTAGGATTTACCATATGTAATATAATTTGTTTCATTATGTAGAAATACTTCACTCTCTAATAAGTTCACCAAGTATGCATTCAAATGTGTGTCTTCTTAGAAAAACACTTAGCGTTTTCTTAACATTTATATAATAGCTCCTTTCTAGTGTAAATAAGATGTTGAAGAGCTTTAGAATAAAATGTTTTTACAATTTTCTTTTTTAGATTATTTAAATAGGTGTTTTATGACAGTCTCAAATTCAGCTACCACTGCCTGGTTAACGTTATCCCTGGATAGAACACTGGAGTTGCCTTCATAAGTAAACTACTGATATCAATATAGTCCTTATACTGATGCACAAGAGCAGATAATTTTCTTTTGCTAACCTGTTCCTGGTAGAGAAATAACAATGATTCCCAGAAGACATTAAGGAAAATTAGCAAACCAGCAAGTGTTTTAAACAGTAAAAGCATTCCTGAGGGGACGAGGGTGGAGTAGGAGAAAAGATGACTTTTTAACCAAATGCAGATAATGGATAACTAATTATCTGATATAATACAGAAATATTTTCTTATGTTAAATGCAGTAAATTAAGATGACACTTATTCAGTGTACTTTATTTGCTGCTAATTTTGTGTGAAGTTTTCATTTCTCTGCTTTCTGTAAATGTGCATAGAAGAGCTTCCCCCCCCAGAATGAAATAGATGGTAGTGTCCCTGACACTTAGTAAGGAAGGGTAGCATAGCATTAAAATTTGTATTCTGTTACTATGCTCTGTATCCACAAAATAAAGGTTGTTAGAGCAAAACTGTTCATCTTCTAAATGGAGTGTAATTCACTTTGTGAGTATTTAGTTCTTTGCTGGCTGTTGTAGAATTGTGCTCTTTTAGCAACTCCACCTAAATTATATTTGGAATGTCTTTAGGTTGTTGTTAAGCTTGATCCAAATTAATGTCAATTTTTCAATTATAGTAAGTTAATGTTTTCCTTTCTTTCCATATGGCTTCCCCTTCAAAATAATCTTTACAAATGTTTCTGAATTCTTTTAGAGCAAATATATGTAACCTATCACGGTATACCTAGAACATACTTTTTGGTAATATTCTAGGTGTCACTCTGGAAACATTGGCCTTTCTGACAGTGAAAAGATCTCTTCCATGAAAGGCTAAGAAGCAGCATGTTAGAGTGGGAAAAGCATGGATTTGGGAGTCACGTAAAACTGAGTTAAAAAAAAAAAATCCAGTTCCACTAGTTATTTTCTTTGTTGCCTTAGCGGGATTGCTTGGCATTCTGCTTCCTAACTCCTTCATCTGAGAAATAGGGCCAGATATTATCTGGGGCAAAAGTGTTATGAGGGATGAAAAGATGTAGAGAAACCGCAAAGTGGGTATTCAGTAGTTTGACGATGCTCTTGTCAACTTCTGTATTGGAATAGGAATGAAACAGTAAAGAGACAAAATTCTAAATATTTTACATTTTTTTCTCTAGGAATACGGGGTGCTTTGCATTCAGGAATATAGAAAAAATAGCAAAGTGGAGTCAAGTACACATAACAGCTTCATGGGCTTGAAGGATCCTCTGGGGCATGACCTAGGCCACCTTTATGTGGAGAGCACTGACCCACATTTAAGTACATCTGTACCTTGGTCAATGGTAGAGAAGCCAACAATGGATAAAGTCAATTCCGGGAAGGAAGAAAAAGAGGTGTCTGAAGAGAATACGAGCTCTGGCGACTCTGAAGAAAGCACACATTCTGACAATGAGTCCGAACAATTGAGAAGCGTTTCAGTAGAGCCATGCTTATTAACCAAGACTCACAGACAACTGTGTAGGTCTCCCTGCTTAGAGCCTCACATACTCAAACGCGGTGACATTTTGCAAGACTTTAAACCTGAGGAGTCCCAGACTACATCCAAGGAAGTGAAGAAACCCCCTGATGTGGTGCGAGAATACCAAACAAAACTGGAGTTTGCACTGAAGCTAGGCTATTCTGAGGAACAGGTTCAGCTTGTGCTAAATAAACTCGGTACCGATGCTTTAATCAACGACATTCTGGGAGAACTCGTCAAGCTTGGAAATAAAAGTGAGACTGAACAAACAGTGAGTACGATTACCAGCGTGACGCGGGACACATCCTCCCTGGAGTCTCAGCGCTCCGACTCTCCAATGCAAGAGATTGTAGCGGATGATGGGGAGAATCTCAGACCAGTAGTTATTGATGGCAGCAACGTGGCAATGAGGTGAGTGGGGAGATCTTCACTCATTCTTACCAGCCATCTTGGGGAGGGTATTTCTAATTTCGTGATCATTGCTCTTCTACAAGTCGATAAGGTCGAGATTATTCTGCATCCCAACCTTGGCTTATGTATTTCTAATTAGGTCTCTTTTAGTTTTCTATCAGTCTCCTTCTGGGGAGAAGGGGGTGGCCAGCCATCCTCCCCCCATTTGTCTTTAAATAGAGACCCTCTTTCCCCAGATCAGTCTCTTTTTTTCCTCATCTGGCTAAATTATTGTGGCATAAAAATTAGCACATATTCCTAGTTGAGTGTTAGCCACTGGTTTTAAATGAAGAACTTGAGTATGATGATATTCACCAATTTTGGAATCTAGTCAGATAAATAGTCCATTTCTGTGTGAAGTCAAATAACCATAGGGAAAAAAATGCCAGTTCTTTCAGAAAATTATTTTTATTGATTTGGAAACAAATCAGAGTTACAGTTTCAAATTTCTTTTGTTTCACTTAAGAAATGTAAATTCAAAAATAATTCCTTAGGAACTGGGGATTAAAAAAACAAGAGCAAAACTTCTAATGAAATTCTTTTACGAATTTTGATAACTTGAAATTTTAAGTGCATCTAAATTCAGTTAGTATAAAGTTAATTATCCTCAGTGTTCAGAACACTGGTGGGGGTATAAAAATATGCAAAGTCATCAATTCTTTTGGAGAACTTAGAATTTCATATATTGTTTCTTAAAAAGTGATCCGAGGATACCTACCACAGGTGTCATCTAGGAAAACATCTAGAGCAATGCTGTTCAATAGAAATATAATGTAGGCACAGGTATCATTTTAAATTTTCTGGTACCTACATTAGAAAGTTAAAGAGGTAAAATAATATGGATGACATATTTTATTTAGGCTATTACATAGCCAAAATGTAATTTCAACATATAATCGATAACAAGATATTTTGCACTATTGTTTTGATATTGAGCCTTAATATTGGATATCTTACACTTACAGCACATCTCAATTCAGACGAACCATACTTCCAGTGCTCAATAGCCACCTGTAGGAAGGGGCCACCATACTAGACAATGTAGTTCTAGAGACCCGCTGACTCCACACACAGACTTACCAAGTCCAGGTCAAGGGGTAGCTCATGCATCTCCTTTTGTAACAAGTACCCCAGCTAGTAAGAATGTGTATTGAAATTTGAGAACCATTGGGTTTTAGTAGGTGAGAGTAAGGACTTGTACACCGGTTATGAGAAGGACCAACTTCTGATCCTCAAAATAACCTTTTCAGGTGGAAGCTGTATTATCTTTCTTTCATTTAGAAGCAAATGAGACTTACAGGGTAGTAATTGCTTACCCAAAGTAAAGTATAATTCAAACCCAAATATGAAAAAAAAATATGTTTGACTTCAGAGTCTGTACACTTTTTATCGGATAATGAGAGATAAGAACAAGTTGAAAACATTCAAGCCAGACCTTAAAAGGTCTTGAGTGACAAGCTAGAGAGTTTAAACTTGCCCTAATCTGAAGGTAATGGAAGGTTTTTGTGGAGAGGAATGTAAGAGTAGAGTTGTGCCATCTACTGATAATCTGGCAGTGATGCTTAGAGTGGATCATAGGAGGCCAGAGATCAATTTGGTTGCACACAACCCTTTCTGATGGAGTAAAGAGGGCCTTGAGTGTCACAGAGGTATGAAGTGTATGTATGGCCTTGAGAAGTCTTTCAGTAAAATAACCTGTTATTTAATCTTTCCTGAGCTTCACCATGGAATGATTTCTTTTTTCCTTGTAATCCAGAACTAGTGAATAATGACCTCAGCAGAGTGATAACTTGAAAGGCCAAAACATCATGAAACCTCCAGGAGAGAGAGTAATAAGGGGAAGTAGTAGGAGCTGGAGAAACACCTGTGACTGTAGCCAATGATCAGAATCACCAGGGGGAGTCTTAAAACATATACCTTCCAGATCTCTACTCTTGGATAATGTGAACCAATGGGACTATGATAGAGCCCAAATAATAATATATTTCTTAAGTGCCAAGGTACTTCTGATGCATAGTCAGTGTCAGAAATCATTCAGCCTGAAATGTGGATATTTACAGGTCAGGAGATAAAAGAGAGTGATGGTTCAGGGAAATAGCGGTGTGAAAAACATGAGTGTAAGAAGAGGTGCTAGGAAAACTAAGGACCTACAAATGCCATCAAACTGGAAGAAATGCGGCTTTAAGGAGACAATACCTTGTGGGTAGTACTGAAAAAAGATCAGAGGACGTGACAGCTGGGAAGTCACTGTCTTCAGGAATGCCACGTGGCGTTAAAGATAGAAACCCAATTACAGAGATGTCAGGAAGTGAAGGAATAGGGGAGCCTGGCTGGCTCAGTTGGAGGAGTGTGTGACTCTTGATCTCAGGCTTGTGTGTTCAAGCCCCACACTGGACATAGAGACTACTGAAAAATCTTTTAAAAAAGAAAGAAAGAAATAGAGCCAGACCGGTATTCAAAAAGTTGATGGAGGAAGGGAAGAAGGAGGAAGAAGTGTTGGGGGAGAATTTTGTTTAGTTCTGGGTTTAAGAATGAGGCTGTCTAAGCAGAGGGTACAGGAGAGGAGTCTCCTCAGAAGAGGAAGACAGGAACGACAGGACAGTTTAACCTTTGCAGCAGAGTTCTTGAGGGGGGAGCAAGAAAGTCACAGGTAGAATATTTGGCGTTGGAGGTAAACACACTTTCAGACAGGAACGAACAGACCTCAGATGGGAAAGGGCAGGAGACTTCTAAAACTCGGAGCCCACAGAAATGAGTTGCTGAGATGGATGTCATCGAGCTAAATGATGTCACAGTAGGATCAGCCTCACATCAACGCCTACGGCTAACACCTAGTTCCCAGTGGAAATGAAAGGTCCTTGGATAATTGAAACTTGACGTCAGACTCTAAACTTTCCTTATGGCACATGGTGAAAATCATCCACAGGAGAACCGTGATACTAAAATAGATGGCATAATTAAGGCATTTGAACAGTCTATTCTTATGTAATTATGAAAACAAACTTCTACCCCCACACTCTCTTGGCGCCGCCCCACTTCCCTTGCTGCGAAGTTGGGACAGCTTGACGCCCGTTCTTCTCTCCATCATATATTTTAATCTGACACTTAAACTGAAGTGCTCCAGGCATTTCAGGACAGAACAAATTGACAGGAAATTTTTATTATAGCAGCATTATACTATCAGTCACAATAAAATGTTGTATCACGTCCATAACTTTGAAAGTGCCAGAACTCATGAAAATTCATAGTAAACTTTTATATGCTGCCATTTATAAGATCTACATAAAGTAAAAAAAAAAAGTCATTTAAAAATACATATCTACTGCAGATTCTAAATCTTAATTTAACAAAAAATGCAGACAGATTTCACCCATTTCATGTTTCATAAAACATGCTTTTACTCTTAAAATTAATTTCCCACTCGTGCTAAGGTAGGCAAACCTGTTGTATAATAAATTTGTACGCATAATATTAAAATAGTAAGTAAATATGGGGGCCAGTTAAAAATAGAGTACTATTTTGTTTTCTTTCTCTCAGGCCGAAGCAGTCCATATATAAGATGAATATATTTCAGTTTCATTTAAAATGCCAGCCATAGAACTGATAGAAGATGATTTAGATAGAACTTAAAAGTAGGAAGGCAAGGGTATTTTTATTAAAATTACCAAATTATACTTAAAAAAATTAGTTCTCTGTGTACCACCTTGCGATTCTAAATAAGTTGTTAAAACTTTGCAGCTGTACTTTTCAGAATTATAAAAAGGAGAATTCCTATCTTACAGGATTACTATTAGAATTAAAGGTAATTAATAGCAAGTGCCTGGCATGTCATAAGGTCTCAGGAAATTACAGCGATTGCATTAGAACTAGATTTTATATTTCAATCCAGAAAATAGTAACTAATGAATACTTTGAATACTTTGTTACCCTAGGGTTTTTTTCTTCCAGTATTTAATAAGCATAGCAATTTAGCAGCCCATTTTACTTATATGATTTATAGGAATATTTCAATTCTTGCCTCAAGTTTATATCATCTGTGGTTTTCAATGATGGTTTCTACAGTTTCTTAAAGGAGACTTGGGCTCTTAGATCCTGGTGCCTTCAAAGTCTTACAAGGACAAGCCACATAAGTGAGATGGCACCTAAGGTCCCAGGACTGCAGGGACCTTCCAGTGGTGGCTTGGAGGGAGCATGCTACTGCTTCCCATGGATTCATATGGTTTTTAAAATGTGCCACATTAAAAAAAATGCTGCATTGATAGAAGTTCTGGGTAAGTTTGTTGAATAAGCAAGTCATCAATAATTGACAATTACCCAGAACTTAGTTTAACGTAAATTGTGATACCTGTTTCACTGCTAAGTATGGAGGGCATAAGCATATTAAAACAGAAAGGTGAAGTGTAGGGAAAACCCTAAACTTTTGCATATAAAATAGTAAGTATTCAAAATGTGCTTGGTTTTGGAAATATGAATATGAAACAGAATGAAATTTATATTTAGTGGAGCTTGATAACAAATCCTGATAAAAGGTGCAGTTGATTTTAATTCCTTTAAAAGAAAAACCTGCAAACTGGTCATTGGGCAAATAAGTCTCTTTCTTTAAAGGGACAGATGCTTGATAATGTAGATACACAATGAGGTGTGTGCCCCCGATAGAGACACAGAAATAAAGCATGAGTAATATTTATCATATTTCTGAAATGAAATTCTTAGGCTATTGTGATTTTTAAAAAAATTTCCTCCAAGTAGCTTTATAATGCTTCAAACTCTGTAATACCATTACACTTAAAGTAGTTCAGTAGTATGGTTCATCTCTGTCCAGAGCTATCCAGTAGTTAAAATTCAAACTTTCCCTTAAATCCAGTGCTCTTCTAATTTGCATGTAAAGTTTCAGATGACTCGTCATGTCTTTAACAAAGTACAGTCCTGAGAGTCACTGGAGTGGGTGTATGATAAGATGA